AGAATACTGAAGTCTCATGCAGAGATTACCACCGAATTAGGTGGATCCTAGGGAACTTAGTAACAAAGTGGGGTAGTTAACTATTTGTTGTTCTTCTGTTTTTTTTTTTTTTCTTCTTATCTTTACAAGTGGTATATTTTTTTTTTCCTTTTTTTTTTTTTTTTTTTTTTTCTTTTTTTTTCTATATTTGTACCGGAAGTTTTTTCGGTAGGATGTAAATAAGATCATATATATATATATATATATATTTTTTTTTTCCTTTTTTTTTTTTCTGTACTCCAGCAGGTCTTATCTCCTATCGAACCGGAAGAGGACTCGGAAGGAAGTGACCCAGATCTGACTCCAGATGCTTGGTGGGGAGCCACCCTCACCAAGTATGCATGGCTCGGGGAATTCTCAGCCCCATCAAGGCCAACCAAGGCACTCATCTCTACTCTAAACAAGACTATCCTAGAAGAAGCAGGGAAATGGGTGGAATCAGGAAAATCCCCCTACCTCACGAAAGTGATGAGGTTCAACGAGTGGGCGGAGTTGGCTTGGACCTTCGAGAACGATAGGGGTGCGTTGGAAGGACTGATCGAACGGTATGCGGGGGATGCAGTAAAGGTAGCAAAGAAGGACGATGAGGAGGATCGTACTATAGAGTTAAAAACGTCCGAAGCGGAGAAGGTCTGGTTAAAAGCCTGGGGGCTTGGATCGACTCACCTTGATTGGGTCATGGCACGCTATAACGCGGAGGAGACGGATGAGGGGGCATCGATGCTGGATGTTTTTAACCTGGATGAAGACGAGAGGATGGAGGTGGACTTCCTTACTGCACCTGGAGTGGATTTGTCCAAGAGGCACAGAACACCCACTGCTTGGGACTATGAAAGGCATGCCTTCCTTCCCCTGGCGAGTTCTCATTGGGTGGAAGAGATGTCGATTTCCCTCCAGCACAGGACATGGAGGCTTGAACCCTTCAACCATCTGGCCCCGATCGGGATCAAGGCGTTTAAATTTCTGGCAGGGGCGAAGAAGAAGGAGCTCGAGGAGTGTTACAACAGTGCTCTGGAAGGTGTTTTTGTGTATGGAGGCGAGAAGAAAACTCCGCATAAAGGAGGGCGCATGTCTTTCCCATCGCTGCAGGAGCTGGATCCAGAGAAATGCAAGTATCCTAAGTGGTAATGCAGAAGACGTGCCCGCAAGGGGTAGGGAGGGACTTGAATGCTTTGAAGAAATTATGGAATGTTGGTAGGCCATACTTGAAGTGCAAGTGCGGATACCAGAACTCTTGAAGGTGTGAAGTCGGCCTCCTCTGGTTCGATCAAGTTCTGTGGTATCTTTTCGTGTACCCCGAAGTGATCGTCCCCACGGCCAACTCGAGAAAGGCAAAGTTCGTGACGGTGCTCCGCCACTGTCGCGGTACTTGGCGTCCTCTCATGCTGGCGAGCATAATATTCATCTGCGTGCGCCACTTCATGATGCTGGCCTCTCAGGCACTGCAGCGCAATCCGAGTTGCAGCCCCGAGCAGTTGCTGAACAGGCACCTCATGTCAAGTACCCTTCCTCGATTGCTGGTCAAACACGCGCTACCTGCAAAGCCAGCCCGGAAGTCATCCCAGACCGGCGTGGTGAATCCGGACCCGAAGAAAAGAAAATCGTTGGATCTCCCGGGTCAGCAGGCTCTGCCCTTTGGGCCAGCCACGAAGGAGAAGGACCCGGTCTTAACCCCGGAGGTCTCCTCGGCGTCCGCAGATCCGTCTCCTCCTGGTGCACGAAGATCGCTGCCCACTGCAAGCGCAACCTCGTCGTCTGCAGGATCCGCCGTCACGGTGCAGAGGCGACGCTCTACCGGGAACCAGCCCAACTCCGACTATAGGGTTGATAACCCCATAACCGAAGAAGCACGTCGAGGAAGTAACTCAGAGATTGTCCCCTCCAACCAATCAATGGTCTTAGTTCTTCCGTCATGTGTGGATTTACTAATTGCTCCTATGGTAGGAACTAATATGCGTATGCTCTTGTGTCTTTTTGTGTGTTGTTTTCTGTGTTTTTGTGCGCTACTTTTTACTTTTTACTTTTTGGCTTCCGATTCTATGTTCTGTTTTGTTCCTTTTTTTTTTTTTTTCTTTTTTCTTTTTTCCTTTTTTGCCTACCATGGCTTATAGGCTAGCAGAGGCTATATGGGCCTTGCTCCCTCTGGAAGGGTTCGATGGATCAAGACCCCTCCTTCCGCGGGTAGACTTGTATACGTTCATACGGTCTACACAAGCAGGCTGTTTGAAGTTGTCAGCCTCAGGAAACTGTTTTCCAACGCAGTTGCCCTGGTTGCGCCTGATGCCCTCGGGGCTTTCGAGAAAGTAGTCTTCGGTTGGAGATACGAGGATCGCATCTCATCTTGTTTGTACAGGCCAGCTGAGACCTTCAGGGACTTTGAGCTGACAGCATGGCAGGGTTCACTAAGACCTGACCAATGCCCCTGCGCCACGGCGAGGTTCAGACCCTTCCATCGGATGAGGACTGCGGATATGGTAGATGAAACCGACTGGCAGCAATCACACGTACTGACTCTCGATCCATAAATGTCCTCCTCCCCGACGGTCCGAGCTTTGCTCGAAGCTGGTCTGAATCATATCCCACCCCAGCCTCTGGACATCAAGAAGGCGTTGCATCAGGTCCGTTTGGCCTGGAGATTCTTGAAAACGGTTGTTGATGATTTTTCTGCTCTCCCAGAGGACCAGCTTAGTGCAGTGGAATCTGCTGCCCTAGCCTACGCTAGGAAGCAGTTCCAAGCGTATTCCATGAGGAATATGCATGTCTCCATTCAAGCGGTAGACGCCTTCCACCTCTCACGAAAAGTGCAGTTTCTAACGAGCAAATTTTTTATCTGTGGCACAGACAAGGCTCAACACACCCCCACCATCGTGTGCAAGAATCTCGTCAGGAAGTTGGTCTTACAGAGGCTCTCTAGCAAAGATTTCGAAAAAAAGATGGAACCTCTTGATTGCATTCTCCAACATGCGCATAACCACATGATGGAGTTGTGCCCAATCCTAACTCCTAGACCTATGAAGCTCCCGTACCTCATGTGCATCTTTAGGCAGCATAAGGGTTCTTTCCAATGGTTTACTAATGTTGCAAACTGTCTGTTCTCTCCTCTAGCTGAATTGTGTGCAGATATTCCTGCGCTTCTGAGCACTGAAGTCCAAGAATACTGTCGGGATAAGAAGAAGCATATCAGGACCTTCCATGGACTTGATTCGAACTTGTGGTGGCCCATTGACTCTATTTTGGAGTACTGTGCTAATCTCCCCAAAGCAATTTTTTCTGTCTTTTCTGCAGATATTAGCAGATGCTTTGAAGCCATCCCCACTAACGATTCTGAGCATGGGCTGGGGGACGCGCTGTGTTTTTTTGTAAAGATGGCAATAAGACACGGGCAGAGGACTGAATCATCTTGCCACATTGGCATAAAAGCTTGCAAAAACGGCAAGATAATATGTCGGTGGATCGCAAATGCTTCGTCCACTACATATCTGACTCTCACGACAGAGCAGATTCTGGATATGAATGTATGGTTAGCACAAAACAATGCCGTCCAATTCGGAAATAAAGTATGGGAACAGAAAACGGGCATCCCCATGGGTCTCCCGTGCTCACCTGTCTGGTGTAACATTTTCTTTTTTAAGTACGAATTCTTGGTTATGATGAGGTTGCTCAGGACTGGGCATGGTCACCTACTGGAAGCATTTGCTGCCACACTCAGGTACATGGATGATATCAACTCTCTCAACAACAACTTCATTGAGAGATTCCTTGACCCCACTCAGGAGATGACGGAGTCAAATCCTTTCATCTCCTTTCTGGATCTACCCTCTCAATATAGATGGAGCGGGGGACTCAGTGAGCTTCCTCAACATGACTATTCAAGTGTTGAGTGAAAACACTGGTAAATTCTTGACTTTGAAGCACGACAAGACAGACGAACTCAACTTCAAGCTCTGCTCATATGTCCGTTTTGACTCCAACAAACCAATTGGTCAATCTCTAGCAATCCTGATCCCGCTTACTGTATGTACAATGCTGGTCTGCTATGAAGCCTCGGATGCTGCGGATGACATACAGAAAACGATCAGGAAATTTGTGGGCAATGGGTTCAAACCTCGAAGATGTTGGGGGATGATAAAAAGAGTCCTAAAGAACCCAGTACTTTTTCAACCATTCATAACTGACCAAGATGCCACTTTTGACATCTTGAAGGCCCGTGAGCCCTTATTTTTGTGAAAAGTGTGATATAAGTACTGTGTCGGGTGCGTGTGATGTTGTGCTTCCTTTTGGAAGGTACCCAGTTTGGGGGTTTGTCGGGCAGGCAGATCCCCTCCTGGGTATCTGCCTGCCCCTACCCAAACCTGGGGGGATTGGGGCGGGACACACACACACAAACACACACGCGCTCATTTTTTCTTTTTCTTTTTCTTTTTCTTTTTCTTTTTCTTTTTCTTTTTCTTTTTTTTATTTCTTTTTTCTTTTTTCTGTTTTTTTTTTTTTTTTTT